TTTTTTTTTTTTTTTTTTTTTTTTTTTTTTTTTTTTTTTTTTTTTTGAGACAGGGTTTCCTTTTGAAGCCCTGGTTGTCCTGGAACTCGCTTTGTAGACCAGGCTGGCCTCGAACTCACGGAGATCTGCCTGCCTTTGCCTCCCAAGTGCTGGGATTAAAGACATGTGTCGCCACCACCCGGATGAAAGATGGTTGTGACTGTATTGCTCTGTCCACATGCTTCTGTGTGCTCCCCCCACTGGAAAGCACTGACCTCACTTGGTCCCCCCCACAGCTTTCAGAAAAGTGGGCTAATACCATCCCCATCTTAAAGATGAGAAGACAGAGGCAGAGAGAGAGGCCAGGTTACTAGCCCAAGGTCACACAGCTAATCAGCTAATCACAGCATAAGCCAGTCCAGTCATCCCGTACTCAGTACCGTCGGTCACAAGTGGGAAGACAAAGCAATGGGTAGCACCCCAGTCCATCTGAGTAAGGTGGGGCTTCCTGGAGGAGGTGATGCATCAGGAAGTGAATGGGAGTTGGTTAAACGTTCTGGGGAGGGTGTAGTGTCAGGGTCTATAGGAGTCCTGGGAGAGGTGTGGAGGGCATGAAGACTCTGGTCTGGATGTCTTGCTAAACGGCTGGGATATTTTCTCGGGAGCAGTGGGGAGCTACAGGAGATACCTGAACAGTGGCATGCCTGTGTTTGTGCTCCAGAAAGGTCCTTCTGGCCCCCGGAATGCTCTGGGGTGACAGGTGGAGGAGGCCCTTGAGGTGCAGACAAGGGTCAGAGGTCATTGGTTAAGGCCTACTCACCTCCCTTCTGAGACTCAATTTCCTTCTTGGCCTGCTCCAGGATACTCTTGATGGCGTCGTCTGAGCCCGTCTCAGGTGTGCGGATTCTCGGGGTGATGCTGCCTGGGGGAGGCACGAAGGTGGCGGCTGTGGGGCCTGTAGGTGGGGGGTCAGGCCCCGGAGGTGGGCAGGAGGGCGCAGACCAGACTGTCCTCGGGAAGGGCAGGGCCACAGCTTACTCTATGGGACACACGGTTGATGGCATAGTGACTCTGGGACTGGAACCCAGGGCCTTGGGAATGCTAGGCCAGTGCTAAGTTAGCACTGAGCCATGTGCCCAGCCGGACTTTGGCTTAACAGTGACAGACCATGACGATGATGGCAACAGCTAACACTTTTCTTTTCTTTTTCTTTTTTTAAGATGGGGTCTCTCTGTGCAGCTTTTGCTGTCCTGGAACTCACAAGAGATCCACCCGCCTCTGTCTCCTGAGAGTTGGGATTAAAGGCGTGCGCCTGACCAGTTTCCACTCCTTGAGCGGCTCTGCATCCTGGTGTTCTGGGTCCTTTCAGCCGCTCTCCAGAGAGCTGACAGATGGGGAAGCTGGGGAACTGGCCTAGAGCCTAGGCTGAGCTGCCTGGGGTGAGTCTGGGGGAGTAAAGGTGGGGGGGCAGTGAAGGAGGGAGTGAAGTCATACATCTTTCCCTCAAAAGGAGGAAATTGAGGCACAGGGCAGCAGCTCACCTACCCCGGGTTACACATGGCGCTGGACGGTGGTGGGGCTGCTTCATGGCTCACCTCGCTGCCGCACCTGGATGGTGCGCAGGGCCAGCACATTCTGCTCATCTGACAGGAACTGCTTCATCTTGATGAAGGGCTCCTTACCCTTCACTGTGAGCTTGCGCCAGGGCTTGGGCCGTGCCAGGATCTCACTCACCGAGCCTTGCGACAGTCCCAGCACATAGTGACCGAACACACGTTGGCCAATGTTGTGCTTCAGCAGCTGTTCCTTCACCTGGAAGGCGATCTCCGCCGTGTCCAGCTGCTCCTCCTCTGGCCCAGCCCCGTCCACAGGCTCCGGGGCCCCAGTGGGCTCAGGGCCGAGTGCCGAGGTGGCGGGAGCCGTTGGAGGTTTGGCACCACCATAGAAGGCAGGTGGGCATGCCAGCAGATTGCCCGCTTCCCCTTTGAAGGCAGCCGGGCCCATTATGTTCTTGGGCAGCAGTGGGTCCCCAGTCAGCCTCTCCCCGGATGCCAGGCTGGGGAAGGGGGACAGTGAGAAAGTCCTTGGCCCATCAGGACCCAGGCTGGAGCCCAGCAGGGGCTGCCCTGGGCTCGGGGACAGTGGGTCTTCCAGGCCTGGTGGAGGTGGAAGCTGAGGGTAGGGGGGCTCCGTGCCCAGTGAACCCTTGATAGAGTCATCCTCCGAGGGGTCCTCCTCTAGAACACCAGGAGGGATGCACAGACAGACAGAGGGACAAAGAGGCAGATGGTAACGGAGGAGAGGGATATGCAGAGGCAAGAGAGATGGTTAGAGTGACGGAGAGCGAGGGGATAGAGATGGGTATATATATATATATATATATATATATATATATATATATATAGAGAGAGAGAGAGAGAGAGAGAGAGAGAGCGGGGACAGGAAATATGGGGTAATGGAGGGACAGGGAGAAGGAAAGGCTATAGATCTCAGAGATAATAAACACCCACGCTGGCTGTTTCCCCTCCATTCTCAAATCCCACCTCCTCGGACCCCCTTCAAATGCTGGTTTATGGGTGCCATCTACTGCCATTGGGAAGATTACCCTAGCAAGCAGGGATGGGCTCACTGTCACACAGGTGTCCTATGTCCCTCTGTGCCTACACCACTCAGGCCACCAGCACTTTCAGTTTAGAGGTAAAGGGATGACTAATGACCCTGCTGTATTTTTGGGGAGGGTCACAAGGTTAAAAGGTCACTGAGTCACTTGTGGGGAGAAGGCAGTTTTAGGCTGTGCGCCATTCCTTGAAGGCTGGTTGTGGGTTGGGGTACGGACACCTCCTGTCCTGACTTCTTAAAGCCCAGCTGAACGCAGGGTCAAGGGAGGTCATCGGGAGCCTTGGGACTCCCTAGCACTTTGGATATGAGGAAGCACCACACAGCAGGAGTTCATCTCCCGCACTTGGTCTTGGATCTCCTGCCTCAGACAGCAGTGGCCCTGGGGAGGAGGTTAAACAGTCCAGGGGCATCCCTGCCCAGATCCCAGCCCAGGTGGCCCTCAGAGTGTCCCTTGTTTCCTACCAGGGCTGGCCAGCAGTGCCGGCTTCTCCATCAGGAACTTCTGGCTGGGAAAGAAGGTCTCCTTGGCCATGTGCAGTGGGTCGTCTGGCTTGGCCAGGGCCTGAGGAGACAGGAAGCAAGGCTGAGACGGCATGGTTGGTGCAGCCTCAGGGGCAGGGGCTGCTGGGGACAGGGATGGAGGCGGGGACATGTACCTGCGGGAGGCTGCAGGTGCTGGAGGCCAGTTTCATGGCTCTCAGGATGCTGCCGGAGAAAGTAGAGAGGCCTGAGGTCAGTGCGCCCCAGCAGGAGGGGAGGCCCCAAGTGAGGTGCTGTCTATACCTCTGCTACTAGACTCTTCCCAGGCAACCTTGGGTCTGAAGGTAGCCCAGGCTAGCTTCAAACTCATTATGTAGCTGAGGCTGGCCTTGAAGTCCTGATCCTCCTGCCTCCACCTCTCAAGGGCTGGGATTACAGTACTATCAACCTCTGGTCTTTTCTTTTTCCTTCTCTCCCCTTTTCTCCTAGCTTTCTCTTGCTTCCCACCCCTCCTTCTCCATTCCTTTGTGGTTCTAGGGAAGGGACCTAGGGCCTCTTGCATGCCGCACAAATCCTCTGCCATTGGGCTACCCAGCCTGTGCTTTTAGCAAATGTGGATAGAAACGATAGAATACATTGCTTTTCAGAAAGTTCCAAAAAGCAAAAATTGAATTTGCCTTGGGCTGTATGCTGAGCACCGAAGTAGCTCCACAGGGGTCATGGGAGAAGAGATGATGAAGTCCCAGGAGGCTGTGCCTGGATTCCATGGAGTACACTATCACAGTCATACTGGGGGCTTAGGCATCTGACCCTGGGGACACCAAGGGTCAACTGTCTACTGCAAACTATGACAAGGTGACTATCTCCACGTCTTCATGGAACAGGATAAGGCTAGTTTTTCTGTCAACGTGACACAGGCTAGAGTCATTGGAGAGGGAACCTTAACTGAGAAAATGTCTCTGTGAGATTGGCCTATAGACTGTGGGGGTGTTTCCTTGATTAGTGATTGATGTGGGAAGGAAAGTCGTTCTACAAGCAAAGTGGTCCTTGATGCTCCAAGAAAGCAGGCTGAGCAAGCCATGGGGAGCAAGCCAGGAAGCAGCACCCCTCCATGGCCTCTGCTTCAGCTCCTGCTTCCAGATTCCTGCTTCCTGCCCTGGCTTTCCCCGATGATGGCCTGGAATCTGTAAGCTACAAGTCGGCTTGTGTTAGCATTTTACCACAGCAGTAGAGACCAAACTAAGACAACCAGTTTGTTTTGTTGAAGTCCAGGCTGGGGTGACAGCCCCCCTGCCTCGGCCTCCTGAATGCTAGGCTAATAGGCACGCAACACCATGCCTAGCTCGAACTGGACCAGTTTTGATGGGCCAAGTGCTAACTGGAGGAGATGTGGACACCGCAGTGGGAAGATGAGAGGGGAGGTCATGGGCTTCGCACGCAGTCCCAGCCAGCACCGTTCAGCCCCATACCTCAGTTCTGTTTTAATCTCTTCATAGTCAGCCTGGGCCTCGAGCTTTTCTTGTAGTTTCTAGAAGACAAACGGGGTCAGTGACACTGGCCCTGTGCTCCCCGCTTGCCACCAACCCTGCCACCCTGGGACCTGCCTCTATGGCCTCAGATTTGGCTGCCAGTTGCCGCTCCAGCTCAGCGATCTGGTTGGCTGAGACCTCCTCCAGCTCCTGCAAGGAGTGTCGTAGCTGCTGTGCATCCTTCAGCAGTCTCAGGATCTCTCTGTCCTTGGAGGCCAGTGCTGCCTCCAGCCGGGGACCTGAGCACAATGCGAAGCTCACCTTCTCCTGGGGACAGAATGGGTTGTGAGCGGCTTTGAGAGGCTGAGCCAGGGCATGCCATCCCTGGTCCCCAGGCAGAAGGAAACATTCCGTCTGGTGATCCAATATCCCAGGTAGCTCCTGTCTCCTATGTATGACCTGCGGTTTCCTCTACATAAGCCATGCCTCATTCAAAACCTTTCTTGCCAAAGAACAACAGTGGCTGGGTGTCAGAGGCAGGAGGATGACCACAAGGTTCCAGGTCAGCTAAGCCTCTGTTGGTTAAGTAGGGGGGGGGGGGGCCCAGTTTAATCTCTGGAGCATGTGAGGAAAGGCTGGGCATGGTGGCCTCCATGTGAAGCCCAGTGCTGGGCAGGTGGAGGCAGCTGGATCCCTGGAGCTCACTAGCCAGCCTAGACTAGTGCATGTGGTCCAGGTCAGTGAGAGGACTTATTTCAGATAATAAGGTGGACAGCCTCCAAGGAACATCATCCAAGGTTGTCCTCTGGCTTCAACACACATGGGAACATGCACATACACATATATGCCCATATGCATACATGTATACGTACACACAGAGAAAGGGGGGGGGGAAAGGAAAATGCTGAGCAGGGAGGAACTGTGGCAAAGGAAATTCCAAAACAGGTTTGAGTAGCCTGTCTGGGTCCTACCCCAAGGGAATCAACCCATCCAGGGAACCAGAGAGCCTCGGGGCTAGATCAAAGATACCCAGGCACTGGCCACGTTACTGTGGCATCTTCTGTCTCCTAATTTGTTCCAGGCCTGTCACCCATCTAGAGTCTTGGAAATTGCCCCTGTGTCCCTATGACAAGGGACAGGGTGCTATCTGTGGGGCCTGGGTCAGGCTAGTCTTAGGCTCAGTTACACAATCTAAGAAGTAGTTAGAAAAAAAAGAGAAAGCCTTCCTGCACGAAAACAGCCCACCACTACTAATCCTGCCTTCTTCCGTGGAGATAAATGCCAATTAAAACAGGAAGCGGATGCCATTAATACATTAAATTAATTAGCATCAAGCGCCACTGTTGTGCTCAGAAAAACTGCCTCCCAAACCAGCCAGGCTCCCTGTGGCTGGCTAGCCATTTGCAGGTTCCAGGGGGGTTAATTAAGAACCACTGGTAACTCCTCCCCAGACAGCCACCAAAGCTCTGCCGCTCTCTAGATAATGCTTCTCTGGGACATCAACAAAGACACCGTCTCCTGGGACCCAGTCACAAGTACCTTTCTGGAGTCTCACACCGACAGACAGACAGACAGACACAGACACACACTGAACTTCTCACATCAAAGACTCATAGTCACTGATCCATATCATCCCAGACACGCACATGCGTGGGTGCAAGAGGCCCCACCAAAGACATGCTCCTGATAGCAGTCAAAAGCATTGGCTGGTTCCCAGCACCTTCTGTGAGCCACGCAGTCCTCTCCATAACCCTGTAAGGTAGGTGAGGATGGGGGAGGAAACTGAGGCACAGTCAGCGTGTGTGCACACACACCGTCACGGCTATAGATAGAGACACTGTTCAGTGTACACACTGAGGGAGCACTCTGACATAGTGCCCACATGTTAAGGAAGGCATAAACACCGCATGCAGAAACACGGGAAGGGGGCAGACCAGAGACTACATAAGGGCAGAATGGTGGGTGGTGACTAAAACCTTTAGGCTGGCAATGACCCCAGGATCCTTGGAGGTGCTGGCCAGGAAAAAGGGTAAAGATGGGCTGACTTGTTCAGGGACCTCGAGATTGACAGCTGAGAAGAGTTCTGTATAGCATGTCACCTGTAAGTTTTAGGACTTAAGGGCTAAGGGCTAAGTACAAGTCCCAAGCCTTCTTCTAGTGCCTGATCAGGGCCATAAAGTCCTAAGCAGCCACCAAACAAAACCGATGTTCAACAGTACCCCCTGGTGGCCACCAAATGCACTGCACCTCAATCACATTGCCCAAATCTTGGCACACCTTGCAATGGGTTTGACTCTCTCTGACCTGTGAACAATTCCAGCATTCCCGGGTAAGGCGAGGGAGGCATCCGAAGGAAGACACAAGGCTTTTCGTTAATCAAGAGTCGATGGAAGCTGGACCACTTAAAATGGTGGCTACAGCATTACCAGCAATACTGTGCTGGTACAACAGGTTGCAAGTGACCGTCTTAGGAGGCTGACCTAATAACGCCAGCCCCCATGAGTCCCTGCTCATGTCACGGTGCCCTCCAGGGCCACCCATTTTTCCCATGTGCAGAGATGTGGCCTTCTCTAGTCTTTCCCTCTGCCACCTTCCCTTCCGAGGTACAGCCTTACCCCACTGGGTCCCTGAGGGGAACAGCAAGCCAGGCGGATGGAGCTGTTGACCGAGGCCAGCTGCTCCCGTAGGCTTTCCACCTCCCGCTGGGCGGCCTCTGCACGCTGGGGGAGGGAAGAAGGGAGCCAGTGAGCGACAAAAGGCGAAACCTGCACCATCTTGGGGCTCCCAGGATCTAGGTGCTCATGTTGTGAGTCCTGACCCAGACCATGACCTAGGAAGTCACTACTGTCACAGCTCATGACTGGGCACCTTTCCTTTCCTGGTGAGATGGCATTATAGAGCAGAGGCTGCCAGGGGCATCTCTAGATAATGCTGGGGTGCCTGGGACCCCAAAAGAGAGCACACTCCTTCTGCCAGTGGGGGGAGGGGCAGGAAGTGGCTGTCCGCACCCATTCCCAGGTGGCTCTAGACTGGGTCTAGATTGTGCCCCAGAGGGGGCATCTGCAGAGGTGGCCCTGGTTCACAGATTGCGATAGGCCTCTGGGAGAGCCACTTGGCCTTCTAAGGCCTCAGTTTCCCTTTTGCAAAATGGAGGTATTAAAAACATCAGAGAAGGCTTGAGTGCTTAAAGACAGAGCCGGGTAATTTGCTAAAAGGAGTCTATGGTAGAGCTTAACCCCACTCCTGCAGTTACTTGGTTATTTATTTCAGAATCTTCTATAGTCTGGACTGGCTCTGAACTTGATATGTGGTTGAGTATGACCTTGAATTCCTGGTCTTCCTGTCTCTACCACAGGTGTATACCACCTTTTCTAAAGCCCATGCCATTGGTCAAGATCTTCACAGAGAAACCCTGCCTCAAAACACTGGAAAAACAACAAGAAAATTCACTAAAAATGCTCTAAATATAAATACTAAAAATAGGGATCATTTAATTATCATTAAAAACACACAGGTGCTGCCTAAGATGTGGCTCAGTTAGTTGACAGTGCTTGCTCAGCATGCGTGAAGCCGCAGGGTTCAATCCCCAGCACAGGTTATAGAAAACATAAATTTAATGTGGCAGCACACGTCTGTAATCCTAGCACTCGGGAGTTGGGGACAGGAGGAGCAAGAGTTCAAGGTCATTGTCAGCTACTCTGGCAGCTCAAGGCCAGCCTGAGACACAGCAAATCCTGCCTCAAACCAAACAGAAAGTCCAAGCAACCAACCACAGGAGCAGAGCTCAGGAAATCCTCTATCACCACTGCCCTGGTCCTGCCTCCTGGGGGACACTGATTCCATGGTGGCTGGAGCTGAGGCGTCAGGAGTCTGCACTGTGCTCACAGGGACTGGCCTCCCAGTAAGTTCTGAAAGCCAGCCCCAAGGTGCCCAAGGTGTCTCCTGTCACAAGGTCTCCTGTAGTGACCCGAGGAAAATTGCCGTGTGTCCTCCACAGGACTGGCCGGCCTGCTGACCATAGGGATGTCCATGGATGAGGAGTTTGTAGGCCCTTTCTGGTCAGGCCTCAGCTGTGGCATTTCAGGGAGTCTGGCAAGGCCAGAGAGCTGGGGCCCACACTTCTCCCAGCCAGCCCTTCTCCCTCAGTCCTGCCCCCTATCCCCACCCACTGGAAGCTTCAGGGGCTTTCCGCTTACCTGGTTGGCTTTCTCCAGGTTCGTCATGATCAGGCCGACCTCATCTGCCCTAGACACAAAGGAAAGGGGACCTGAGACTGGCTGGCAGCCTCCGCCTGCCTGTACCTCTGCCCCACAGTGTGGGCCATGGAGGCTGTGCTCCACACTCCCCACCAGAGACAAAAACAGGCAGGGTGGAAAAGAATCCTGACTGCTGGAAACCGGACACTGCGCCTCAAAACTCCTCTTGAAGGCAGCCCAGCCCCCACTACCCTCAGGGTCCCCATCTCTGGGGAGCCACCACCAGTGCTGCCCCCCCACTGTACCTCTACTGAGTGTCCTTCCCCCTAAGAGTCAGCTCCCCCACACAGTGGTACCACTTCTTCCACACTGAGGGCCAGGACAGGTTTGCCTAGCTGGGTGGGACTCTGGGATCTAGGGGACACTGCTGGTCACACCTGTGTGCACACATGCTCTAGGCTTTCCCTGCACCGGCTGTCTCGACTTCTTAAGGTGCACTAGGCTGCCTGCCTAGGCCACACCTGCCTTCAATGCCCCTGCCTCAGCAAGCTCTTCCCTTGGAGACAGCAATCACAAGCTCAGCACAGCGCCTGTACACGGCAAGTACTCAACAGCAACTATGAATGGATGCCTCGTGGCTGTTACTGTCTGTGTCTGCTCTCACTAAAGCTGGGGCAGGAGTTCATGGTTCCCCCAGGGTCTCAGAGGCACAGCACCAGATAAACAGTAGGCGCTCGGTGCTTATGGAGTGAGCGATGTCTTAAACCTGAAGAAGGGCTTCCACTCTGAGTCACTGCAATGCTGTCACTTGGCCTCCATGGGTCAGGGGTTAGGGTCAGGGGTGAGGGTGCCCAGTGGCCTCATTCAGGTGGGTCCAAGGGTGTTGTGCCTGTGGTATGTGAGTGGGATGGGAAGATGGATTGGGTGCATGCCTGGGAATGAGGAACAGAGCTGCTCAGAGACTGGAGAGTCAGAAAGAGGTTGCTTCTGTGTGTGTGCGTGTGTGTACGTGTGTGTGTGTGTGTGTGTGTGTGTGTGTGTGTACAGAGGGAGAAGGCACCCCCAGCTCACTTACTTGGCCGCAGCCTCCTCATCGTATTTCCTCCTCAGCTCCAGCAGCTCCGTCTGTGTGGCCTTTAGCGCTGGGAAGGGTGAAGACCCAGTGAGGAGCAGCACTGGCCAGCCCCCCCCCCCCCCCCCCAAAACGCGGGGAGGGCGGTTGGGGGGAAAAGGAATTCAAGAGGGGGCGGGGGGGGGGGGGGGGGACCCTCCTGTCTAGGGCAGATGAGGGCCTTTTAGAGCAGTGGGTTCTCAACCCGTGGATCATGACCCCTTTTGGGTCACAGTGGCCCTTTCACGGGGTCACGTATCAGATAATTGCATTAAGATTCATTACAGCAGCACAATTACAGCTATGAGGTAGCAATGAGAATAATGTTATGGTTGGGGTCAGCACAACATGAGGAGCTGTATTAAAGGGCCCGCAGCATTAGGAAGGCTGAGAACCACTGTATTATATATCCTGAGAGGCACCGGGAGCAGTGACTTAGTGGGGCTGTCTACTGTCTTGCACTGCAGGCCTGGGTGGAGCCACTTGACCCACCCTGAGGCCAGCCTTGCCAGCAAAGCCAGGAGCTTCAGTCTGTGACTGACATTGAGATTTATAGAAAAATCCAGTGGTTTGTTTGTTTGTTTTATCTTCTTTTTCTTTGTTTTGGTATTTAGGGACAGAATTTCATGGTATGTCTAAGGCTGGTCTGGAACTCACTGTGTAGCTCAGGCTAGCCTTAATCCTCCTGCCTCAGGTGCCTGCCAGTTACACTGAGAAATCTAAAGGGTACGTTACTCACTCTGGGCCACCAGATCCTGCCTGGTGGCCCAGGGCAGTAGCCACCTTCTGGCAACCTGGTTCCACCAGGTGCCCCAGACACCATCTCTGCCACTGCCTCCATGGCTCGCTGTCAAAGAATCACCCCATTTGGTTCCATCCAAGCTAGCGGCTTTGGGCTGGCCCCTGCTGAATGAATTGTTCTCTACACCCTATTTCTGGCTTCCTTTCTGTCTTGGGGCACACCAACCCATCTCCCCATGTTCATGGCTTGACCTCCACACTGTTTCCAGCCACCTGGTTTGAGGGCTGCCACCTGAGCCGGGGTCATACCTGAATGTAACACCTTGATTTTCTCCTCTGCCTCCCCCAGCCTGGCTGCCAAGGTGATGTGGACTTCTTGGAGGCCCCTGCAGAGACAGGACTGCTCATGCTGCTTGCAGGGACCAACCTGGTCCCACCCCAAGCTACGCCCTCCCCATTGTCTGCACTTTATGAGGAATCCAGACCTGGTACATCTACTGCTCCCACAGTCTGCTCTGCTGCTACAGTCTCCTTGGGCTGGCACTGATGCCCTGGGCCTCAGTGTGTTGTCTGCTGGGGAATATTCCTTTATACTGTATGAATATATATTGCTATGATTGGTTTAATAAACAAGCTGACTGGTCAATAGCTGAACAGAATAAAGTTAGGTAGGAAAGCCAAACTGAGAATGATGGGATGAGGAAGGGCGGAGTCAGGAGTCGCCAGCCAGATGCAGAGGGAGCAGGAGATAAACGTGCCACGCTGATAAAGGTCCTGCCATATGGCAGGGCATAAATAAGGAATATGGTTAACTTAAAATGTAAGAGCTAGTTAGTAAAAGGCCTGAGCTATTGATTGAGCATTTACAATTAATATAAGCCTCTGTGTGGTAATCTGGAAGCAGCCCCGGGACAGGTAACCCTGTCTACACTTATCTATAAAGCAGAGATCTTGAAGGACTCCACCACAGTGTGTGTTATGGGGCCTGCAATGTCAGTCTGCGGCCTTCCTGGTTTTATTCCTGTTCCACAGGGTCATTCTGCTGCCTGGGGCAGGAGCTTGGATGTTCAGTCAGTCCACCGAGGCCTCTCTCAGGTGGAGCAGCAGCAAGTCTGCTGGCAGTGAGTTGGGGAAGGGTGATACACACAGATCTGGGACTGACACTCCTAACTGGGAACGAGCCCTTGAACTCTGGTCACCTTCCTGCTCAGCATTGCTGCTCCAGGCTTCTACCTCAGATTCTTCAAACAGGCTGCTCCCTGGGCCTATCACACCCTTCCTATCTACCCCTGCAGAAGTCTCACTGACGGACCCACTCCCCCACCATGCCCTCCTGGGGCCCTGGAAAGATCATCCCATGGCCAGATCAGAAGTACATATATCCACCCCTCTGGGTAAGACTAATGAATGTACCCAGACCAGCCCATTCCTCAGACAGGGTAACTGAGGCTGAAGAGTGATGAGGCAAGAGTCCTAGGGTTGGCCTCAGGGTCCTCACCCTTCCCCATCTCCCACCTGCCCTTGACTGCCCCAGGTGGGCTTTCTGGTGGCCCTCCCTCCCCATCCCTCTCTCCGTCCTTCCCTCCCTCCCTCCTCACTTCTGTCTCTCGGCCTCATCCTTCTGCAGCAAGGTGTCTGTCAGGAGGGTATGCTGGGGACCTGGCAGGTGGCTGCCGTTGGCTGGCGTGTGCCCAGTAGGACACGTCCCCTCGTTCTGCTCTGTGGAAGACAGGGAGGACCACACTCATCACTGAGATGCAGTCACAGAAGTTTCCCACCGGCCACATGGACCCCTGGGATCAGCCCCTCACTGGATTCTGGGCTGGCATGCTCACAAAGCGTGCTGACTGGTTTTTATGTCAGCGTGACACAGGCTACAGTCATCTGAGGAGAGTAGAGAGCCTCAATTAAGAAACTACTTCCATAGTATAGGATTGTAGACAGGCCAGTAGGGCATTTTCTTAATTAGTGATCAATGGGGGAGAGACCAATCCATGGTGGTGGGGTGATCCTTGGGTTGGTGGTCCTGGGTTCTATAAGAAAGCTGACTGAGCAAGCCATGGGGAACAAGCCAGTAAGCAGCACCCTCCATGGCCTCTGCATCAGCTCCTGCCTCCAGGTTCCTGTCCTGCTTGAGTTCCTGTCCTGACTTCCCTCAGTGTAAGCCAGATAAACCCTTTCCTTCCCAAACTGCTTATGGTTATGGGGTTTGTTTGGTCACAGTAATAATGACCCTGGCTAAGACACAAAGACAAATTCCCAACGTTCCAGCCTCAGATAGCACACTCAGGGGCTCCTTCTGACCAAAAGGAGCCATCTCCCTTATCACTGGAGAAGGGACCAACAGCTATCTGTGGTGCCCGTGCTGCTGGCCTTGGCTCCCTCCAGCACCCCAGCCCTCTCACCTCCTCCCTCCTCCACTCCCCTCCCCCACCTATGCATTCGCTTGCCTGCACTCTTGCTCTCTCTCTCTTCATCCTCCCTCCCTCTCTCTCTCCCCCCTCCTTCTCTCTCTCCCTCTCCCTCCCTCTCCAGCTGTCTTGCTCTCCCTGTGCTCTCCCCTCTCCCCCACCTCCTGCCCCCCTCCTCCCTCACAGCAGGTCCAGTCTGCTGGCCATGTTCAGTTCACTACTTTCTCTCCATGCTCTGGACCCTTCCAGATGCCTCTGGTTGTTCTCTCTCATATCTACAATATGAAACCTTCCACTTAACCATACCATGGAGTGATCATGTCAGTTTATACAAGGTTGGGGTGTTTGTTTGTTTGTTTGTTTTGAGACAGGGTCTGTGTAGCTCAGGCTGGTCTTTGGTCTTGGCCTCCTGAGGGGTGGAATGTCAGGCATGGTGGTCTGTGGTCCGCACTGCTCTGACTGAATGCCATGTGTACAAGGTGATAGGGTCCAAGGGCACAGATTCTGAGCCCTGCTACCATAACCCACTGTCACGGGAGACAGTGAAGCCCAGCTCCCATCCCACGACCCCAGGCTTGGCTGGAACTCCGACATCCAGATTTGTCCCACCATGATCCCATGGTGGCTTCGTCAGTACCTCTGATGCTGGGTGGCTCTGGGCACCTCTTCCACAAGATGTGCAGGTCTTGTAGGCGCTGCCCGCTGCGGTCAAAGCTGGGGCGCTGCAGTCTGTCGTCCAGAGTCTGCGCCACCTCAAACGAAGGAACAGTGTCTGCAAGGCGAGAGAGAGAAGGGGGGAGTTGAAGGTCAGGGGATCAAGGCGGCTTTCCACAGAAAACCGGGGGAAAGTATGTAAGAATCACTCGGGGTCACTCTGACAGCTATGGACAGTAGAGATAACTTCTTTCTTTTTCATTTATTCTAAAGATTCAAAAAATTTTAAAATTGTGTGTGTATGTGTATGTGTAGGGAGTATGTGCACATGAGTGTGGGTGGCCTGAGGTATCAGATGCCCTGGAGTTGGAGTTACAGGTGGTTGTGAGCCACCTTACAAGGGTGCTGGAAAACAAACTTGGGTCCCCTACAAGTGCTGGTTTGAATGAGAATGGCCCTCATAGGCTCCTATGTTTAAATGCTTGGCTCCCAGTTAGGGGAACTATTTGGGAAGGATTAGGAGGTGCAGCCACGCTGAGGTCTGTCAGTGGGTATGGGCTTTGAGGTTTCAAAAGCCTATGCCAGGTCCAACCTTTTAATTTATTTATTATTTATTTTTGTTTTGTTTTGAGATGGGGTATCTCTATGTATTCCTGGTTGTTTTGGAACTTAACTCTGTAAATAAGGCTGAGATTCACCTGCCTCTGCCTCTCAAATGCTGGGATTAAAGGTACATGGCACCATACCCAGCTGCAGCCGGATCTGATCCTCTGCCTACTGCCTGTGGATAGAACGGAACATTCTTAGTTCCTTCTCTGGCACCACGCCCGCATGTTGCCATGCATTTCTAAGGTTGGGAGGCCCCTCCAAGTCTTCTAGGATACTTGTATGTTTTGGGAGCTTCCTCTCCCCTGGACAGTGTCTCAATCAGCATGTAACTGACTTCTGCTATTCAGGTCAGAATCACAAAGCCCCCCCCC